TTCCTAGAGTCTAGAATGTCAATAACTTGAAGAAATTTTACCCCTAATAAAATTCTTTCAAGAGATCTATGTCTTGCTGTTCTTTACGCTTCTCACTTCGTGTTAGTTGAGATTCATTTTACCTCTTATTCTATGTATCTGAGGTCAATCAGTTCATTTATTCCTTGAACCTCATTTTTGTTAATAAATGTCACTTCACATTTGAAGTGCTTTATCTTCCCTCAATTCATTTACAGTGATAAACTTGTTATTAATTCACTTGAAGTGGTTTACTTCTCTAGAGTTCGTCTTTGAAGTGATTAACTTCTTTTTTATTAACTATCCTTTTTTAAAGGTAGTCTCAGTTCTTCTATCAATATATAATAGTAAACAGGTAAACATAAATAAACACATAATTTCAAAAATGAATTTTCATTCAGAACATAAATATTACAAACTGTTTAACTGTCTTTACAAAAAATCAAAAAACAAAATTATTTCCTTGATGGGAGAGGTGGCACCTCCTCCTCCGTCTCAGCTGAAGCCGCAAGCACTGCCTCTTTCCTGGTCTTCCCCTCATCCACTTGTTTGGTTGAAGTCTTTGACTTCTTCCTTGGCTTCTTGGGGATGGCCGCTCCTCCAACAATGTTCAAGAACTAATCCATTTCAGCTGCAAAGCAAGAATACACAATATCAATCACAGTTCTATACTCTACATTACTCTACATTCAGCACTACAATGCAAAACTAAACCAACCTTCACTCAAAGCGCTTGGCCCATAGAGCTCAGCAGCCTCTATGCATTGTGCGCTGGTGAGGTCCAAAATGTTTAATAAATCCCCCCTTCCTCACCAACCTCCCCACTTCTTCCTCCTCATCCTCATTTAAGCTAAACCTATTCTGGTTGGCCCTTTTGGCCTTCCAAGAGGCTAACTCCCTCACCTTAGAATCCCCTTTCCCCCACTCCGTATCATCTACGAAAAAGAATTTCTCCTTCCATCCTTTAATGGATGAAGGACCCGCCGTAAACAATGACCTACTCTCCTTACTAGCTACCCTTGGGGTGAAATAATACCACCCCTTATCTCTCATACTACCCCCCTTTAAAACAAAAAAATACTTAAACATATTTACAGTTGGCACGCTAATCCCCTGAGCTCGGCAATAGACTAAAAATCCTATTATTACCCTCATTGCGTTGGGGACTAACTGTGTCAATCCTATGTTGTAATCTAACAGTAAACCCACTAGCAACTCAGGAAGTGGAAACCTGAGTCCCGCTATCAAATAGTGGGAATACACAGGCATCCAGTGATCCCGAGGAGCAGAGCACGCCCTCTCCTCTACCCCAGCTGGCCTAACTAACACTCGAGACGAGATCTCGTAATTTTCTACTAAGTGACCCAGGCTATTCCTGGTCCTTAGCTCAGATCTGTACTGCTTCACCTCCTCCACTATCTCTGCATTCACATCATAATTCCTCTCTCCTCTACCCTCTACTTCTACTACGGTGATGGGTATGCTATCTATCCTAACCCTTACCACCTCATTCCTCCCTCCCTCTACCACCTCTCTCTCCCCAACCTCCACCACCTCATCTCCTCTCACCCCCTCTATCGTTTTCTCCGAACTAGATGGAGATGGACTACTCTCTGCGTCCATGCTCCCATAGTCCAGGGGCATCACCTCACTCCCAACTACACTTTTTGTTCCTTCTGAAGACATTTTCTCAAACTCTGCACGAAGTAGGGGGGAGGAATAAATCAGGATCCCACATAAAAAAAAAAAAAAACCCCTTTGTTGCACATTCAAAATCTTCCTCACCTCTAACCCTAACTTCCTTCAAAGGACTCTAAATCAATCACAGAAAGGGAGAAAGGAGAGAGACACTTCGATTAACTTAAAATCAAAAGTTCGTATACATTACCTGATTTCGGTTTCAAAAGATTTGATGTAGAGATCCCCAGTTGTTACCGCAGTTTACGCACAGGAAATGCACAATAAAGCTTTTCGTAGAAGTTTTGCAGAGAAAGGAATGCAAGTAAACCTCCCTTTGCAGAAAAAATGTTTATTTATACTTCTGGGCAAAATTAAATCTCAACGGCTGAGATTCATTTAATCTTACGTTCCTATTCGCACCGTTCAGAATTCGACGGTCAACCCTAAACGGTACCGTTTTGAATTAGACGGTTCTTTTTTTAATTTGTGCTCGTTTAACTGTTGCAATTATCTTTTTACGGCCACATTTATTGCACACGTCATTCCAAGGACAACTGTCACACCCATGTCAGTATTTTTACACGGGCCCATTTACGCCCATTTCAATACCTTTGTTCACTTTTATACATTCTCAAATTTGCAAGTGTTTCACCTCAGCTTCGACCACAATAATCATGCATTATATTTCACATCGGTTTCGGTCACAGTGACCCAATATCACACATTTTATTTCGGCTACAACCATTATGACTACGGTCATTATATCTTATTACAGCTCCGGCCATTATGACTCCGGTCATCATATTTTAAGCCCAGCTCAGCATTTCTGCTTACTTTTACAATTACACTTTTTGACGGGCAAAGTTTTTTACTTCGGCTCCGGCCACAGAGACATGTTCTACTTCGATCTTGGTTAATGCGACCACATGTCACATACTCTACCTCGGCTCCGGCCCTTATGACTCCGGTTATCATTTTCCATCACGGCCTTGGCCTTTATAACTCCAGTTATCATTTTTTATCATGACCTTGGCTCCATTATAACTCCAGTCATCATCTTTTACATTATGACTCCGGTCATTATTTTCACCACGACCATAGCCGTGATCGCTCCGGTCATATTCCATTTAAGGCACCCCAGTATGACCCACTGTTATGTATTTCATTATTAGCTACGGCTATGTCTAAATTAAAATTACAGCTTTCTTTCTTATACTTCCATGACTTATCCGTAATTTCTTTGTTCATGCACTCCCCTCATTATCCCCAGCAACATCATTCACAAGTGAATGACTTCGGGGGGGAATAGTGTAAGGACAGGTTCGAGGTGCCAAGCCTCGGACTGCTACAGTAATTCCTTTATGACCGAAGTGAGAAATGAATCCAAAGCTCCCTGCTCAAATAGCTGCATGACAATG